TGTGAAGCTTTGGTAAATTCATTATTAAATAAGAGCTCAAAATTTTGTCCCTAATAAATAAACGGAGTTTATTTATGCAGTTCCGAGCAGAATAAAAGCTACCTTGGTATCTGTTTTGCTCAAGCAAACGTTTGTAATCTAAAACGAATTAGTTTTTTTTTGTACTCAAAGTCGAACGGTTTTAGTGTTCAACTTGTATGCTAAATTTCTGTGTATATGTATATATTTATATGTATGTTTCACCAGTTAAAGCTTATTGAAATTTTAGTTGTATTTAGAAAAATGTGTTAATTTGGTAAGGCAGCAGGGTCAGAATGACGCAAAGGCGGAGACGAGGGACTCAACCTGGAGGGTATTGGGTCCAATCTTAAGTCGGCAAAAAAGACTTATTGTGTATTTTCGTGGGTTTTAAGGCTCCTTTTTGTCGTGACTTCTTGTTTCTGACGTGTAGCTTTGCATCTTTGTTTCAATTTGGGATAGGACTATCAAGTTCAAGAACAAAAAACGGTTATCCTTGTTTAATCGATTTCGAACTGTCTGTTAGCTATGTTTATAAATTTACTCAATTTTAATGCTGCTAAGGGCCAATAATTGGAAATCAAAAAGCGTTTTTTGTGTTGTTAAACAAAGTGAGTTTCCACTGATTTGGGTTGGGTTTTTTTTTCAGGAAAAACTTACAACTGATCACTGTTTAATTTTGGTTTTTGGAATTTTATTTTAGTTTTTTTGCTAAATCTAAGGCAAATAACGCTCTCGAGATAAAATTGCGCGTCAAATAGAGGTTGATTTGTTTTAATCTGGATTTCCATTTTTAGATTTACAATTGCCATAAAAAAATAATCTTATGGAGTAATTTTTCGTATTGAGTTAGTCAACAAAAAGTATCAACCGTAAACGGTTCCAGAAACGCGAATAGGTTCCGCAAGTTTCTATGTTGTGTTAACACCTTATGAAAGTGATATTGGCTGGAGGAGTAGAACATGGAGTGAAATGTTTTGGAATTCTGAGATTCAGATATAAATTTTTCGACTTCATGTATCACATTGGTCTCGTGAATGATATCACCGAATTTAGTCTACGGTGCTACAAGTTTTTTTAAAACAAAGAAACACTTTTTGTTTCACGGCCTATTAGAAGCGAGTATTTTGTGCGAAGTCAAACGCGAAACGTTTGAAATAAATCTGGGGCGGTATGAGAAAATTTTAAGATGCATATATAAGAAGTAAAGACTCACTTATGGATTTTAATCAGCAGTTAATCAATTAAATCATTGTATCAAATTTAATTAGGTCAAAAGCAAAATGAGTTTTTCTCAAATTTTATGGACATGAGGGCATAGATAACCAACCTGTTTCTAGTAAATCATATTCTCTTCATTACAGTCCTTACAATTTCTCTCTCCACCAATACCCTATTCGGTGTTCGGATGGGTATTTTTCTGTTGAAACTAATGATAACTAATACATTTTTGGCATTTAAAAACAGTGAATTATCGTGGAAGAGGTACGAATCTCTGGAAATGTTAGGAAATATAAGCATTTCTCTCAAAATGCTCAAAACTAGGTTTAATTAACTGTTAATCAGAAGGAGCCTAAACGATTACATGGATGGAATCCGATCACTTTTTCTGGCCCCGAATCGACCCGACCTGTCAATAAAAAAAACCGTCGACGATGCTGGTATTCTTCCAGGTCTGTTGATTAAGGTTTGAGACACCAGCGTAAATGGAATTTGCCAGCGTAAATGCTCCCGTCTGTTAAATTGTTGTTTACCCTTGCGATAAGCAAGGTTTTAAATCGGGTAATAGACTCCCCACTGAATAACTTTGTTCAGGGGACTCCTCTAGACTCCTGGTGGTAGATTGGTTCACAATGCATTCAAGTTTCTTAGAGTCTATACACTCAGCCTGGATGTAACCAATTGATTTGTATGATTTGATTTGTCGTCGGACATACGTTTATATTCTCAAGTCTTGCCGGCAAGTTTTTTGAGCTGTAAGCAAGTATCGTTTTATCATGTTGATTGTAAATTCAGGGGGACATGAAACTTTTTAATGGTTTTTAATGATTTTTTTTTCGGCTGAATTGGTGTCTGCTCAGATTGTCGGCTTTGTTTCCGCTTCGTAGCTTTTGCTTCATTGCTAATTTAATTTTCAAATGTCTTGCATGGCATGTTTACATAGATTTCCTATTTGACAAAAACGGGTATTTTGAAATTATATGGGATTGGGTTTTTAGACGCTTTTTTTCACTTTAAGCAACAAATTTAATTATTCTCATAAAGTACTTCCAATTTGCAAAAAAAGGTTATATTCGAAAGATCGCCTACTCCCCTTTGTCCTTGTAGTTTCTCCTAGTCTCTTTTTACTTTAACCCTCTGCCTACTGCGTTCGAAAAAGTCTGTGGGAGGGCAAATAGTTGATCCGTATTTTTTGTTTCTTAATTTTGGTGTCCTCAAAAATTACTCTTCAAAACCTAAGATAGTAGTTCAATAAAAGTAACGGGTTGTGGAAAGCTCCGCTGCATTTTTGGCAATGTCCAGTTTTTTAAACAAAGTTATAGCCCTAGGAACAGTCTAGGTTTTAATTTTTAGACCGTTTTTTGAATCTTTTTGACTTTTCTTCCCAAACTAACTTCCCAAATCTGCGATGGTGAGTTCAATCGAGATAACAGGTAATAGGAAGTTACCCTATATTAGCGGCTACTGACAATGTTTTTCACACAAAGTTATCGCCATCGGAAAAGTCTAGTTTTCGATTTTTTACCGTTTCTTAAATTTTTTTTGAATTTTTTCATATCTGAGATTATAGGTTCAATTCAAAGAATGAGTTGTTGGAAGCTCTTTTGTTTATGTGGCTACGCTTAATTTTTTTGACACCAAAGTTATATCTTCGGAAAAGCATTAGCGGCCACGCACTTTTTTTCACGAAAATTTATCGCCTTCATTTTTTGACCGTTTTTAAATTTTCTCGAAAACTACTCTCCCATATCTGAAATTTCGATTTCAGTCCAAAAGCATTGCTATTTAAAGCTGTTTTGTATACAGGCCAGTGCCCAATTTTTCTACCGAAAAAGTTGTGGCCCTCGAAAAATCAAAGTTTCGAAACTTCGACCGTTTGAAAACTTGTAGAAGTTACTCGAAAACTACCCTGTCAATTCTCAGGTTAAGAGTTCAACCGAGAAACCTGGTTCTGGAAATCTTCTTTAGTTAAGCAACGAAAATCTATTTCTTGAAAAAAAATGTTATGGATTTTGGAAAGTAAAATTTTTGAAGTTTGACCGTCTTTTTTTTAGAAATTTTTAAAAGTACCGAAAAACATAACTAACAAATCTGAGAACAACAAATCAATCGAAAGAACCGAATATGAGAGTTTTTTCTGCAGAAGAGGCTACTCTTTTATTTTTGGTAAAAGAAGTGTTATGTCATTGGGAAATTTTCAATATCTCGAAAGTTTCCACTTCTAACTAATTTTACTAAAAACAGGGACCAAGTTTTTGGGCTAAGTCTATTTTTGAAACTAAGCATTTCGTCCGGCATCAGTTTAAAAAACTCAAAAAAATATCAAACGTGTTCCTACCGCTTTAGTTAGGCTGCTAGTTGTCTTTTATCGAGACTGAATATTTCGGTTCACTTAGGTTATGTTCAACATTTTTCTTTTGTTTTTCGACTAATGTTATTTGTTACTGTTGTACTGCAAGTATTGTTTCATTGTTGATGGTGTTTCGGCTTTATGGTTGTCGATTAAGCTCTCGGCTTAGTTCCCAAATTGTGTATACCACCTTGCTTTCAGTACATGTATTTTTTCCAATAAGATTCCTGAACATTTATGGTTGATTCTGTCGCTTATTTGCGGTATATTTTGTTTCCTCTCGTTTTCTACAACATGACGATATTAATCATGAGATTGAAAAGATTTAGGCCCCAAGCTTAAATTTGCGAATGTTCAATTTCAGCCCCACTTGGAACTCTTAAAAAAATTTAATAATCTTAAACACGAAAAACTTTTGATTTTAATTTTTTTTTTCAATGGTAACAACGTTCGAAATCCTCTTCGATAGTTGTTGAATCCTTGGTTTTCTTCCGATACTTGTTGTATCGCAAGTGGTGCGAATCTCAGCTATGACTTATTCTACTAATTTTTAAAAAAAAATTGGTTAAATGAATAAGTTTTTCTCCTAATTCAGTTTTGTTTAACTGACTGATGGCTAAAAAAGTCAAAGCAAAATTAGATTATTTTTTACACAATCCGTGCGTGTGTTATAATACCAGTTCATTTTTCATGTACATCGGAGGTTACTTTTTCACCTGAAGCTTTTTTAATGCTCAATTTGAAAGATCAGGAGCTACATCCTCTTAACTAAAGCGAATCCGATAACGCGTTTATCAAGAGCAATGAACGTAGAGAGTAATTTTATATTGGTCTTGATGATTTTTTTGTTTTTTTTTATGTTACAGGTCTAGTCTGGTGGTGGACGTGTTGCTGCCTTGGACTCTTTATCAAGCGCTGGCATTGGATTTCAGTAGGCTCCGCAATGATTTGTTTTTCACGCTTGCTTAGCAGGCATTTAAGCAGTTTTTTAAGAGTTTTTAATATATTCTTTGACGTTATTCATTTTTTTGCGATGTGCCGCTTTCCGTAGGTTTGATTTTTTTTGTAAAATTCGGATGAGCTGGATTTATTTAATAATCATTTGACAATATGGACTTTTTGTTCAGTCTGTTCAGTTTTGGGGTTTCAAGGTATTTCCAAGGAAAATTGTTCTTCTAATGGAATGTAAGTTCCTGGTAATTTTTCGCTCTTGCGTTGAAGAAATTACCAAGAAATGTACAAAGTTTAATCATGCGAAGTAGTGGCGGTTACGTTTTACGCGTGATTGCAATGCAATCGAGACTTAGTCATTAAATCTTTTTTATGTTATTTTTAAAGTAGCAGCTTGAGGAAATGGGTTTTCAGTTTTTTGATGAGTAATTTAAAAGTTTATGAATTTATTTTCAGTTTGAGCAAAATGTTGGCCTCAGAAATTCATTTTCGAAATTTGCAATCAGTTCTGAAAATGCACATTTCTTGTGCAGCCATTATAGACATCAAGTACAGTCCTTTTCCCTCTGAGAAGAACACAATACTAGTTGTTACAGATGTGGGTTACGTATCTCTGTTCAGAGATGCTGGTTCTCACAGGTACCACAAATCGCAGTGCCACATGGGCTATAAACTCCATAACAACATTGTGTTTGCAATCGAATGGATCTCGCCATCTTCTTTTCTTTCAGCTTCTGCTGATAAAATGATATGCGAGTGGCAACTCTCGAGCGATAAGATACATAAGAAAGCGACGTTTCAAAAACATTCCAGTGGTGTTAAATCTTTGTCTATATGTCCTGAAAACGAAAGTTGTTTTGTGAGCGGAGGGCGAGATGGAAATATATTACTGTGGGATAAAAGATGTCACAGTTCGGCTATGGTTGTTTCGAAAGGGGCTGGTAGAATGCCTATGCATCCCACTGGCAAACTCTACAAAGTCCCCTTGGTGTCCATATTGAAGGCACACGAGTCTTTTGAGAATATAGAACAGAGTCGCAAGAAGGTCAAGGTTAGTTGTTTTGTTACCTTTTTGATATTTTTGAATATAGCAAATCATTTCAATTGATTTTTTCAAAATTATGGATCGCATGCACTCTTCCTTTGAAGTGGCGGCACTCTTCCTTTGAAGTTATTGTCTTTCTCAAATTGACTGTTATCTGTTACTTCTTTGCCAGAGTGCTTTTTGTATTTGTTGTATTGAAACTTGGCGATGAGCATGGAGATAAGATATGTTTAGTCGTGCTGTTTTCCTGAGTGATTTCCATTTTCCGTTTTTGTGATGTATATGTTTTTTAAATTGAATCATGATCTCGACAATGCATCCACGTAAATTATATCATATTGCTTTCTATTTATAGTTTTAAAAAATCAATCTAAGACGTTGCATTCAATCAAATCAGTAATAAATAATTGCATGGAAGCTTGAAACAGATGCGAAGCGCTATTGACCGACGTCTTGGTATTGTAATGCCGTTGCCTAGAATTTTTAGGCATGATGATTTTTTGGTAATGTTTTTTAGTAAAAGTCGTTTGTTTCCTTTTTGATTAAAGAAAGACAAACTCGACTATCGAACAACTTAAGTGTGAATGTCTCAAAAATGTGATCGACTTCTGGTTTCGAAATTGAATTTTAATTTTTAGATTTCCCAGCGGAATAGAAATTTTATATATTATTGTCAGTACTTTTTTCTCAGACTAACTTTTTTTAATAGTCAGTATTTTTTTCTGTTTTCTTGCGATCCTTTACGCTTTTCCAACTGTCTGTTGTCTATGTTCTTTTTGTTTGAAAAAACTTGTTTGTTAGTCTTTCGCTTTTGTACGCAAAATGCTGTATCACGTTTTGGTATTCTTTTCAGATCAAAAAATTAGTTAACTTTAGCTTAAAGATTTTAAAGAGTAAAGGTTATCCTATTGGGACCCTATCGCATAAATAAGCCTGCTGAGCAAATAAGCCACACAAAAAGCTGACCATTTTCTCGACAGACTTTTTTTGAGTCCAAAGTACGTCAAAAAGACTCATAAATGATGCCACAAACGATGATGATAAAAATGATGCCCTAAAAGCTTTGAGGCCCTTATTACCATAGCTTCTTCGCAACTCAGGGAATTGGGAAGTAACTAAGCTCAAGGGTGTCTTCTTGTCAAGCAAAATGAACTGCCTCAAAGTTTGGAAGGCATCTTTTTTGTCGTCATCGTTTGTGGTATCACTTCAGAATCTTTTTTACGTAGTTTGGATTCAAAAAAAGGTGCCTGTCGAGATAGAATGGTCAGTTATTTTCTATCTCTGAGATTCAATAACTCAGTAAGCTATTTGGGGCTGTTCTGTTTGGAATCTTGTAGTTACTGTGTACGTATTTATTTGCAATTTGTCAGCTGACTGTTTTTTTCACCGAATTTGGACTACCTCAAAGAATTGTTACCTCAAAGAATTTGGACTACCTCAAGAACAAGGAGTCGGGAGTCAAGTGAAGTCTCATATAAAAACCATTACTAGTTCCATTACCCATAAAATTTTTGATACAATCAGGATTGCTAGTTGCTGTGCAAGTAGCACAAAATGTTCCAACCTCGCCTATTTGAGAAAAAAATTCAAAAACAAAAGACATGAAAAGATTTTAAAATTTTTCATGCATTATTTTTCGTTTTGTCTGAATTTTCTTTTTTTTTTTAGAAAAAGCGATTAAATTAGTTTAAAAAAAGGCAAGAATGAGTGGTTATAGCAGCTAAATTGGCCTTAAAATTTTAATTGGATACGGTTGAAAGGCTATACTAGGATACTACACTTGCCCTTCCTATGAGCTCTCGCCTTTGAAGTAGCTTCGCAGTTCGTGAAGTAGTCGGATCAAAATTGATTTTTTAAACTTATGAAAGTTTCTTAGGATATTGCTTTCGTCTTTCTTCATTTTACTTCAGAGACTTAAAATCGGGTACTAGACTTTTTCCGTAAATAACCTTGTTAACGGGATCTCCAATTTTAAGGTTTCTTTTTCTAGCCAAGTTTCTTTTTGATAAGGTTGATGCAATGGGTGATTTTCATAGGTTTTGAGAGTTTGTGCAAGTTAGTTTTTGTGGTAATTGTTTGAAACTTTTGCATTCATTTTTTTGGTTTTTTTTTTCAATTTTTTAATTTAGTTTGATCCTAATGATAGCAATCAACGGGTAGGGCCTTTTTATCCTCTTTTTGTTTCTGTAGGATATGCGGCTTATTAAAACGAAGTTTTTGAGTCAGTTGCCCGAATCCTTTTTATGTTGTAGATAATTGATTACTATACGAATTGCAAAAAGATTTTCTGGGTTTATTTTAGCCTGAAATTTTTCAAACAGAATTCCTTCGAGTTTTTCACATTTCGTTAGACACATTGTCTTTTTGTTTTTGGGTTTTGTTTTGTATCACAAGTGGTGCGAAACTCAGCTTCGCTCTATAAAAATTTCACAATGACAAGGGTTGCTTAAGAGTGCTAAGGGAGTTAATACCCTCATGATTAGCAAGGGTGTTGCAACCGGGTATTAGACTTCATCCCCTCGTGAACGACTTCATAGAATAATTTGCACGTGAAAATCTTACACGTGCTTTATTATACTTTCAATTTCAATTAACCACCCAGCGAATCTGGCGTTGAGGTAACACACCTACTTGAGACGGCTAACGCTTGTGCTTCGAATCCGGCCGGGACCTGTTTTTCTGCAAACTGAAAGTTTTCGTCTTTCTTAGATTATTGTCTGTCTGCTTATTTTTATTGGCTTAGTTCCCTTATAATGTACACCAGTATGTACTCGTATGTACATATATATGCTCGAGGAAGTTTTTGTCCTAAAGAACATTCACTGAGTCTGCAGATCTATCCCTGGATCGTCGTGATCCCTGCGAGGTTGTGCTCACCCCTAAGGCTCTTAACTAAGGCTCGTCTATATTAACTACGCTCTCCACTATGAATCTGCGGTCGCTCTGAAATGCGTCTATCTAAACTACTTGTTTTAATACTTTGATGCTGAAAATCTAATTGAGGCCAGTTAAAGGGCAGTCGGAACATTCGGGGCTTTGCCCTGAAATACGCGCAGTCTTATTTGCCCTATTCTGTGAGCCTATTATTTTTAGCGCAATGGTTCAAAGCTCTGATTTTACTGTGTTTATTGAATAGCGTGGCTTTTGACTTTTTTAAACTAACTAGCAGCTAATACAATGTAAAATAATTGTATTATTGGGTTTTAAAAATTTCTACATCTTTTGGGATCTTTATCATTTAACTCATTATATTGTTTAATGTAGAATTCAGTTAACGGAGATGTTGCCTGATTGGAATGGGAAAACAGTCTTTAGAAGGCTTCAATAGTAGTTAGAGTTTCTATTGATTCTACATTTCTGATTATCTTTGTACATCAATGGAAGTTATTTCAGACCAACAGCACTAGTGGCTCAGTGGATAGTCTCAATGGCATCACGAGTGTCAAGTGGCTCCACAACAACCAGCTGCTCTCTTGCGCCGCAGCCCACAGTACAGTACTCATGTGGGACATTCGAATGACTCCCAACATGTCCTCAGCATGCTCGGACTCCTTCGGGTACTTCGGATCCTCGACGAAACGAGTCGGTTTCAGCAGCATATCTGTCAGTCCGTACGAAGACTATTTTGTAGTCTCATGTACCGACTCGAAACTGTACGAGTACAGACTTCTTGGACCTAGGGAGTCAGAGAAGCAATGTAGTATTTACAACAATCCTTCAGGTTGTAGCTATTTCACAAAAACAGACTTGGATCCCTTCGGAAGTTACATAATAGCTGGTTCTTGTGACAAAAAAGCATTTATTTGGCAGCGCGGGCTAAGTGAACCTCTAGCCGAACTGAAGAGCTCCTCGCATCATGAAGAAATGACATGTGTCGCTTGGAATAAGTTCGACAGTCATTGTATATCGACTGCATGTGAGGGAGGTTTGATGTCATTATGGACCAAAGATTTCATGTTGAGCAGTCACTTAACTGAAGGCGAGGTACAGACGGGTGAAATTCAAATATTCAATAATTTTCCAAAGTCTTTGAAAGGCCATCGGACGGATAGTGTTTCAAAATCCCTCTACAGTAGGAAGTTTGGCAAAGTTCAGACTTATAAGAACAGGTTAGTACCTGACTAGTTTTAATATAGCGCCGTTTTTCCAATGGTCTCTAGGTTTATTTTGATGAAATTTTGGTTTATTGAACTAAAGCCATGTTTTGCTCTAGCAGCGTTTATTGTTTACTTTTTGAAGTGAAAAATCTGTTTAGGACAGAAAATTACAAAGTCAATCAGATTTCTGTTTCCCCCTTGAAAAGTTCAAAGACTCTTGATCCTTTCTCGACACCTGCAAAGCCTCAGCCATGCCTTGGTCTTCGGAACTTACCGGACTACGTAAAGTATACGCCGAGAACATCATCGTTATCAATCTTGAAAACTCCATCAACTTGCCCCGTGGTTTCAAGTCGTTCGAACATGGGCTTGACTCCAAGTCCAAGAAAACAGTTCCTGTCCAATTTCAGATCAGCTTTCAAAACTAGTCCTTACTCTTCGCCGATTTCGAGGAGAAGAAAGAAAAATATATCGCCTTCTCCACGAAACATGAAAAGTGCCTTGGCAATTGGATCTAATGGGACAAATTCGGTTTTTGATTTTACGCCGTTGAAGACCAACCTGGCCTTGGCAAATTATCTGTCTCCTATTCCAGAATCTGTTAAGATACAATCAAAAGTTGCTACTGCTAGCATGCAACAAAGTAACTCCACTTCTGCGAAAGAAAATTTGCAAGTTAAAAGAAAACTTGACCAATTTTGATTTAAGTGAGTTTGTGCAATTGTTTGTTAGTGTTATATTGAATTAGAAATCTGAAATTAATTTAATTGAAAATATCGTTCAAAGTATTTCGAAATAACAGAAGCAGATATAGATCATTTTATTGACCTAGCTAGCTACATGGATCATTTTATTACTGTCAATTTAATCGAAAGGTTTCTCACAGTTGCAGCCTTATTTCTAAACGTTTTGTCGAAATATCTGCGCCAGTATACAAAAAAAAGAAAAAAGAGCTGAAAGTTTGGGGTATGATTGATGAGAGTTTAAAAAAATCTAGCCAGCTAAAATCCTGAAAGTTTGATTTAATGTTAGAATAGTTTTTCGTTGTCATTTTCGTATAACATGGTCATGCTCGAATAACTTGGTGTTTAATAGCTCATAGGCAACATAGATTTTGAAATTATCTGACGCAATGTGTCTTGCATATGAGTAACTTTCTGAATTGCAAATCCTATTGTTTTTGTTCCTAATATTTTTTGAAGAAAATGACGGAATGTTTGTGCTCGGGTTGGTTTCTTTCTCCAGTCACCTTTCGACTTTTTAATTAGTACCTTTTGACATTTTTTTGTATATCATTCGAAAGCTATTGTTGTCATGAGCTCAAACTTAAAACGATATTTCACCTGTGATCTTTTTTCGTTATGTAATATGTTTTAAAATTGACAATTTGGGACACTTATCGTGTGGTATATTTCATGCTCGCGTCCAGTCAATTCAGTCGATATGAAATTCAGCCAAAAATACACCGACAAGGCAGCCTCGGACAATTCAGCCGATATGGCAAAAGGTAGAATTTCTTCAATTATTTATTAGTGACCGCTGAAGTCTCGTCAACACTCACCGGCGAGCTTAAACCGATAATTAACTCCAGTTCCGATTTTTTTTTAAATCTAACTGTTTTGATAAACTGGCTTAATTGTCTGCGATTGAATTGTCTTTGTTTTTTTTACTGAATTTCAAATTAATTAAATTGTCTTAAGTCGAGTTTTCTGTGCTCCTTCGTGCTATTAACGCCTAAGCGGAGGATTAATCCGTTTTAAAAATAGTTCCAAATTGAATTGATGCGAGCTATTTAGTCTATTTAAAACATCGCTATAGGCGAAATACATCACTTTGAACTATTTTTTGCCCGTTTGTCAATTACTAATTATAAGCAACTTTAAACGCTGTGCATGTGGCTGGTCTTTACATTGAGCCAATCATATGTGTTGTTGAGTTTAGGTTGAGTTTTATGCAGCTAGTGATTTTTTTTAAAATCGTCGATAACGCTTAGTTAAAATAATCTATCTAAGCACCTATGCATTTTTGAATTGGCGTTTCACATGACACATGTTTAGGAAGTCCCTATGTTGACATAATTAAGCTTTTTCAACGTGTTATTTTTTGCATGTTTAACGAAAGCAATTTTTCACGTTTATGCTATATCGAATATTGTAATGCTTAAAAAAATTCACTTGACTTGTTTACTTAAAACTTATTTAAATAAATTTAAAATTCTCAACCCCATAAGGGGGTGTTGTCAGGATACACTCGAGGGTTGCTTATCTTGCGTCCAAGTATGACTGCTCAAATTTTGTTTGGTTTTTTTTAGAGATATTTCTTTTTTCTATGATTTTTTAAAATTTGTTTTTCAAAAAAACTCAGATATGCAAAAACTAGCCGGAGTTGAAATTCTCAACCGTATAGTTGACTCCTGTCAGGGTACGTTGAGATTTTGCAAATCTGGCGTCCAAGTATGACTTCTCAATTTGCTTGGTTTCCGCGATATGGCGTTTATTATGATTTGTTTCAATTGTTTTTCAGTAGGGTGCTGTCAGAGTATACTCAGATTTTGCAAATATGGCGTCCAAATATGACTGCTCGAATTATTTTGGTTTTCGAGACATGGCGTTTTTATGATTTTTTATTGTTTTTCCGAAAAACTTAGATACAAAAATTAATACAAAAAACTAACCAAACTTGAAATTCTCAGCCCTATGGTGGGTACCTGTCAAGGTTCCCCGCAGTAGTTGCAAATCTGGTGTCCAAGTTTGACCGCTCAAATTTTTTAGGTTTTTGAGATATGGCGTTTTATGTTTTAATTTTTTTCAAAAATATTTAAATATAAAAAAAACTAATGAACTTGAAATTCTCAACTCTATGGTGGGATACTCTGAGGGTTGATTGTCTTCCCTCCAAATATAAATGCTCAAATCTTTCTGGTTTCCGAGTTCTGACGATTTTTATTTTTCAATTTTTTTCTTCAAAAAAGTAGATATAAAAAATAGCCAAGAGAACTTGAAATTCTCAACCCTAAGTCTGGATCTTGCCAGGTATACATCGGCGTTGCAATTCTGGATTTTAAATATGACTGCTCAAATCCTTTTGATTGACGAGATCTGACTATTTTTATGATTTCCCATTTTTTTTTAACTAACCGATCTTGAAAATCTCAATCCTAATGCTGGCGTCCTGTCAGGGTTTATTCAGGTGGCACTGTCAGGGTACAAATATGTTTTCTAAATTTCACTGCTCAGCTTTTTTTCCGCGATGTGGCGTGTTTCTCGTTATTTTTCATAATTTTTACAGAAAAAAACTTAGGTTTAATAACTATTAATAAAAATTGAAATTCTCAACTTTTAGGGTAGCAAATCTGCCCTTTACATTTAAGTGATCAAATCATTGTGGTATTCGAGATATGGCGTTTGTAAGAAATAGAAACCCTTGATGAATGAGTCCAGTTAATCTTCACTTTTGCAATAAATATCGCTGTTTTGGTACATGTCCTGCGCTAGTTGTACTAAAGGAATGAAAAACTTTTATATGGTTAGTTTTTGCTTGTTAACTCAAGCAAATCCTTTTTTTTTATCACCAAAGTTAATTTTTTACCTCGTAATACATATTACTGATCAACAAATTTAGCATAGCACATCAGCTTTTTAGTATAGGCAGTTTAATAGTTTTTTATCAGCTTCATTTGTAAAGACAGCAAGTATGAATGTCGGAAGTGTGAAATCATGAAGCTCTAACCCGAGAGGTCGGTTAATCGAATCCTGAGGAGTGGTTTTTTGAAACTTCGAAGCTCAAACCAATTTTTTTTTCCATTTTAAAGCTCCGTTTTGCCATTCTTTGCTTGTTTGTGAACTGGAGCTTCACTTTTTAGTGTTTTTAAAATCTGCTTCACTTAGCAAAGTTGAATTGTTAGAAAAATGTTGTTCAGCCGGTTGCGGGTGTTCCAAAAGAATGTTAATTTTACTTTTTAATTTGCAAATTTGTTTTTCAACTGAGTTAAACTGGGTAAAAAAAAACATTTACTTTATAATTTGATCGACAAAAAAAGAAATTAATAGATTTTGGCGCTTTTTTTAGGTTTTGGTTTTCGTTTCATAACTATGCCATTATCGAACTTGTCAAAGAGATTCTAATTTTTTGCAGTCAAGTTTCCAATATCAAATTTTCAGTTAAAATTTTTAAGTGTCTCGTATATCATTTAAATAATTTATTTTTCTTTTTTAAGGCAAATTCACTTTATATTCGTTTACGGAATGGATGGCGAACGCTCTCAATTATCATAAGTGCAGGTGGTGCAAAAATAATTCGCAGAGGAACAGAAAAAGACATTGCTCAAGGTGTTGCAAATAGGCATCTATCATCATGTTCTTGAAATTCCAAGCGTCTTAGGTCATATTTAGAATTTAAAATCACCAGCTTTTTTGCTGCGTTGAATCTTTCAACACTTACTGTCTGCTGACTAAGTTAACATTTTTTGATCTAGGACTCCAGGAAGTGTTAGTATAATTTGAAATATTTTCAAATAATCATTGGATTGAAAGTTTCATAGTGTTGCTGATAATGGTTTCAAATTTCATTTGTAATGAAGAATTAGTTGATTATTTTTGCGATTAGCAATGGTAATGTAATCTGGTGCGAGACTTTTTTTCAGAAAAGAAATTTTGCAAACAGAATTCGCTTGTGAGATGTTACGTGCATCATAATATAATCAAATCCAATCGCAGTGTTTGGCGTTTTGCCTAGAGGTAACGCTCATACTTGGGACGACGAAGTTGCTGGGTTCATTTCCGGCTCGTAGCCGATTTTTTAAATTGAAAACTTGCCCGCTTGTCAAAGTTTGATTACCGGTCTATCGTTTATCTGCTCATTTACTGGCTTTCGTTTCAAAGCATAAAGTCGTATATTCATTTAGGCAGTTTTAACACTTTCGAAGCGAGTATATTAGTACGAACCTTCTTTTTTTCGAACATAAGTTCCAAATATTGGTGCCACTTTTGTTGGATACCTTACAGCTTTTTCATAGCATGTCATGTGCTTTGACATTCGAATATTAATTAGCTAACGCAGTTGATCCATTTTTAATTCATCAAATGAACCGAAAAAAGTGATTTGTTTCAAACAATATAACAATAATGAAAACTGGATTTCAGAAATTCTCTAACTCAATATATCTCGCAATTTTTGAAATGCAAAATTTTTGCATAATGTGGCTTTATGCTTTGCGATTGTTTTAATGCCTTCAGTTTGTTATATTCCAAATTATTACTTGCAAAATTGAGTCTTTATATTTCGTGCCACTTTAGCTGAATCGCATTGACAATATATTAGCGTATGTAGCTGCTTTTTTCGTGAATAGTGTTTCTCTTTTGTTAAGCTTGCGTGGCTGAGTGGATAGTGCTGGAGAATCAAAATCTCTTTATTGTAGTAGGTCGCAAATTCGAATTCTACATACACGTAGCTGAGTTTTAGCTAATCCGAGGCTTATTTCTATTTTTTCGTATTTCACTTGTAGAGCTGCTTTTTGGTCGTGTTCTCGCAAGTGTTTCTGAAGCGCAGCTTCGCTTCTGTGTAAATATATACGAAGATCATATTGATTTGTTCCTGTAAACTCTAAATTTACCACCCCTGAGTTAATAATTTTTTTTGTATTTTCCGTTTTTTGTCGCTTTTACGATTTTTTCATCTTTTTTGGTTCGATCACGGGGCGTAATAGATGCGTCAAAACTTTTTATAGCTCGAAGTTTTCGGCTCAAAACGTGTCGCTTAACATACTCCAATCAATTTCAAAAAAGTGTCGCTCGCAATTTTCTTAATTTTTTCAGGTATTGGAAGTGAAAGCTTGTTTAGTGAGATCTTTTATATCGAGTCCACTTACTCACAAGTTATAGGTATTGGCAGCTGATGGTATACTTAATTTTCGCGGTTTGATTTTTGATTTCATTTAGTTCATTTCCTGTGTTAAGCGGAAGGCAAACTCCACTATCGAACAGTGAAAGTGTAAATGTCACGAAAAACGTGATCGATTTCTAATTTCGAAAATGAATTTCATCTATCAGATTTCACAGCCACATAAAAAAATCATCTATTGGTCCAGTTTTGTCGAATGGGCTTAAATTTATCCAAAAAATGTTAATTTTAAATTGTTTTAAAAATTCAATGAGCTTTACGGCTATCTAATTTTGATTTGAATTTCGATGTTAGAGGTTTTTCAAAAAAAAACATCAGTGTTTTTTCGTTCACTTGTTTTTTTTTGTGTCTGCGTTTATTGACTCTTTTCCAACTGCCCGTTTGCTATGTAAGAGGCTGCTGAACAGTGTTTTGCTAATTGGTCTACCCATGCTTCCCATCAGTGTTCTGATCTTAATGTGGCGTGAAATTTTGTGTTCACGTGTTTAGGCTTGCAATTAGCAAGGTATATCAAATTGGAAGATTGACTTTTTCACGTTAACAGCTTGCCTAATAGAATCAACGAAAAATTAGCGCTGATATGCTCATTTTTTGGACAATTTAAATTTAACTATTTGATACTGTTAGTGGTTAAAACTACTAAACGAATGAATGGTTATCGTGATAGCGTACTCTTGATATTGAAGCGCTCTTTGGAACTTAACTTTGAAATTGTTTCTTGAAACGTTCAATTGTCGGTCTGTTGATTGTCTGTTATTGTTTTTCGGCTAGATTTCTACAGCATGGTCATTTCTTCTGGTATATACAAGTTTTACTATAATTGAAAAACGTTTTCATTTGTGCCTCTAGTTGAGCGGTTAATTGAGTTCCAATGATTTTTCTTTTTTGTCAACGTTTCTCTATTTTTTCTTTTAAAAATACAAATTTTTGAAATTTTTTAGGTTTTTTTTTCGAGTCACAAAAAAATCAAAGGAGCCGTACGTCCCAAACTATCTGAACTAATGATCATATCCGATAAAAAATGTTGAGAAAAAGATCGGATTTTCCCACGTTTTCAGAAATGATTTTAAATAAAATAAAGACAGAAATGATTTTGAATAAAATAAAGTTTTGAGCTTTCATGATTTCAAATTGTGATAGAGAAAACATTGATCGTGGTTAGTCTTCAAATGATCGAAGCTTTCGTCAAAAAATATTTATATGTACCTCTTGGCGTAAATTTTTAACCGCAGATGGTTCGAAGCTTCAATTTATTTTTGTCGACTTTAACTTTCACAAGCTATGAATGCAAATCAGAACCTACACGGAATCGTTTGTCTTGGAATTATCCAATGAGCAATTTGCTGATAATCTTTCAAACTAATTGTCTATTTTGCAATGTATTTACAAATTATTTCTCCTTAATTTAGGAACAAATAAGACCAGATATGTCGTTTTGCTGAGAATTTCTGCTAAGTTTATGAAATTTAAAATTAATCGTTTTTTTGGACTTTTTATGACTACTAGGTCATTTTTAGATTGAGGTAATGACACTGAGCAGGAGCGGATCTAGGATTCTCTCGAGGGAGCGGATTTCCAAAGTTTTTCAAAAACTTTGTCGACTGTTTTTCAGGTTGACAAAATCAATTTTCCAAAGCAGTAAAAAAATCCCTGTTGTGGCAAATTTTTCTGAAAAAGTACGGCAAAATTAAAAAAAAACAGGCAAAAAAGGTGTTTTGAAGCTTTTTTTTGGAAAATGTTGACCAAAATAATCGCGTTCTTTCGGCGCGCGCTTCACCCTCAAATTAGTCATTGTTGGCGCCCAAGGGGCCTTTGGAAAAAATTAAGGGTCCGTCAGCCAAAAATGAATATCTCAAAATAGTACAATGACGGGGACCCTGTGGGTCGGCAGGGGTCGAATCCGTGAGGGGGAGGGACGTCCGCCTCCTCTAATCCCGCTTCTGACTGTAAGTAAATTAAAACAAAGATCAATAAATGGGATGTGACTCCTCCCACCTTCTCATCAACTGTAAAATCAGACCAGTTTTGCTCGACCGCCAATTTCGTGAAAATAATTTTTAAAATCTAAATCACGACTGAAAATATTTTAGAATGGAGCATCACAGGATCTCGTACCAGACCATTGCGTGAAAAAATTCCCTGGGCGTAGTTTCTTCCCAGCCCTATGTTTGCCGAATGAATGACGACTAACAGGGCTTTAATATGATACTACGCTAAATCCCATGCGACAACTTTCTTTGAATCACTGAAATTGCGTGTTCTTGGAAAAATTGGTCTGAACAATAGGCTTGACTGTCTGACCGATAATTTAATCAAGTATATTTGACACACCCTTGTGTGCAGCCGTCAGGCACATTTTGACAGAGACTCAACTTGGTCAAAACTAGGTAGTGCTTGCGGCAATAGGATTACCCAAATTTGGTCTCATTTTGTTACTAAACAATTTTTAATACGTATTGTTCCGATTTTTGAAGAAAGTGATAGAATATTTGTGCTCGGGGTGGTTTTTTCCTGACAACCTTTTAACTAGCAGTTTTTTTACAGAATTCGAAATATTGTTGTACTAAGCTCAAATTAAAGATATTTCAGCTGTGATTATTTTTGTAAAGTTATGGGGATTTGAAGATTGCCAATTTAGGACAATTAACTCGTGATATCTTGCTATCTTGATACGAGCAATCTTGTTTTAGATAAGTGCAAAAAAAATGCAAAATTAATTACTTTACATAGCGTGTAGGGGATGGTTTCCGAAAAAAACCAATATCTAAAAAAGTTTTTGAAATTTTATCGTTTTTTTTTTGTAATTTTCATCATTTATTTTATTTTAAATTACTCCATAGAATTTGAAATGCAGTCTGAATATTCAGGGTTTTGCCCTGATAAAAGCAGTCTTTTTAGAATTTTGAAATCAATGGTTATTATTTTGACCACCGAAGGAGGGAATTTTAGATGCGGCTGCTTTGTTTGACGCGAATCAAGTTAACACAAATTAAGCCAAATGGGATTGAGTGATCAATTGTATTGAAATTCTTTCAGTCAAGATTTGGACTGTGAATAATTTGATCAATTTAAGGCAAATAGTCACTAGCAGTTACTTCACGACTTCTTTGCTAAAACAAATTTTGTTTGAAAATCTGATTAACACAAAAAAATGACAATGAGTGCAATGTCAATGAATGCTTACGAATTGTCCAATTTTGAAATTGCTTCATATTTATTGACCTTGCTATAACAAAGGGTATTGCTATCGGGCACTAGGCTTTTTTCCCGTAAATAACTTTGTTCCCAGGACTCATCTCCTGGGCTCATTCATAGACTGGGCATTTTAAATATCCGGCCTTATTGCGCAAGCAATTAGCAAGCATTAGCAATTATAGACTTTTATGTTCCGGAATATAGACTTTTTTCGGGCTAACAACTTGTTTAACAGAATCACTCGAATCACTTTTGTCTTCGTTCATAATGAAACCAATTTTCTATGCGTTCCCAGCCAATTTAGACTGCAGGTAACGAATATGCCTGGACGGCAAAATTCGTGGGTTCGAATCACATTAGGTCATGTTTTTTTTTCAAACAACGGAAATTAATAAATTTATCGGCCAATTATTTGTGTGCTAGTTGTAGGCTCAGTTGTCACTGTCACATCTTGGAAGAGTTTTTTTTGCTGCGGGCATTTTTTTAATGTTGCTTTTATGGCCTAACTTTGGGTCGTTTCAAGGGAAACACAGTTTTTACACTCCTCTCCGCACTTTTCAAGTTGGTTCTGTAATAACCAATCGGTATGTTGAAACTTATGTTTTTTTTTTCATTATGGAAAGATATTTCCAAGTCCAAGGAAATTTTTTTAGTTTCTCTCAAACTTCTGATGGTTTTCAAAAAAGCTGCATCAATTGAAAGACCGCCTTCTCCCCTGTGTGCTTGCTGACTCTCCTAGAGGCTCTTTTTACTTGACCCCTCTGACTACAGCCTTCGAAAAAATCTGTGGGTGAATATTTGACCCATATTTTTGATTTTTTTGTTCTCTCGAAAACCACCTCTCAAATCTGAGTTTTTGGTTTCAATGAATAGAACGGTTATTAAAAGATTCCTGTATAAGCGGCTGCGCATAAAATTTTCAACATCAAGTTATGCCCCTCGGAATAGTCAAATTTTTTTATTTTGACCGTTTTTTGAATCTTTTTGACTTTTCTCGAAAACTTAACTCTCAAATCTGATATTGTCGGTTCAATGGAGTTAACAGGCAGTGGTTAGCTCCTCTGTATTAGCGGCTACTCACGAAGTTTTTTTACAGAAGAAAGGTATCGGTAAAGTTTTTGACTGTTTTTTAAACTTATTGAAAACTCTCGAAAACTACCCTGCGATGTGTGAGATTTTGGGTCCAATTCAAAGAACAAGTTGTGGGAAGCGCGTTTGCTTATGTGACTTTTATAAAAATTTTCTGAAACTAAGCTTTGATTTTTAGACCGTTTTTTAGACCGATTTTTCTCGAGAACTACCATAACAAATCTGAGATTTTGCGTTCAATCGAAATAACGGGTTGCGTGAATGCCTTCTTCATCAGCGGCTACGCCCTGTTTTTTGCCCAAAAAGCTATGATTTTTTTCAATATCAAAAAATTGTTGACCGTTTTTTGTTTTTTTTTCCTCGCTAACTATCCTGCCAACTGATATCTTAGTTTGGTTCGACTCAACAGATTGTTGGAAGCTTATTTTTTCAATTTGCTTACCCCTGATTCTTTAAGAACCAAGTTATGGCCTTCAAAAAAGTGGAAGTTGTGAAACTTTGAACGTTTTTGGATATTTTTCAACTTTACTGGCATTTTTCGTGCCGCATCTGTATAACAAATTTATTCAATACCTAACACGTAGCTTCAGCCGGGCCCCTGGTTGTTTTTATCCAGACTTACGAAATTTTTGGTTCACCTAGTTTTTTTTTAAATTTTAAAAAAAATTGTCGACCTAGATTTTTTTATGTTTGTTTTGTATGGCAAGTGGTGCAAAGGTCCGCTTTGCCTCTGTGTCGAAACTTGCGTTTTATGTTGGTTGTACTTTTACCAACTCGATTTCTTTAAATCTCATTTTTGTTTAGTTTTTTTTACTTCTTTCCTTTTAGTATGTTTTGGTTTATTTTATATCGACTTAGTGGCCTCTGTTTGCGTCATTTGGTGACCGAAAAAGTTTTTTGTGTGCGTTCGTGTGTTCTGAGGGGAAGGGGGTTGGGACTAGCGGAATCCGTAGGAGATAAAGTACTGGATAGCGATGGCAACTAAGAAAGAGAACAAAACGAAGCTACCCCACAAAATCCCGCAGACGATGGCGTGGGGCGTAGCTGCTACAAAAGCAGCTGGGGATGGGGGACATGAAATTTTTAAATAATCTTAGTTTTTTGAAATTTTTTCTACAAGAAGGGTTTTGCTCAGGTACTTTCAGCTTTGTTACCGATTGGTAATTATATATTCAAAAAACCATCTGGCGTAGGGGTAGAACAACTGCTTGTTATGGCAAAGGTTTGTCCTTCGAATCTGGTCGGGACCTTTTTTTCTGCAACTAAACAAGTTTTTGTGCTTTTTCGGACTATCGCCCATATGTTTGTTTTTGCCAGCTTTGTTACCTTGGTTCGGCTGTTTTTGAAGGTTGAGCTTTCTTCCAAGTTGCTGTAATGACAATGTTTGAGTACAAAGCTCGGGATTTCGGTTGCAGTCGAGACCTGATTTTTTGCAATTTGAAATTTTTCGACTAGCTTAAGTTATCGTCTGTCTGCTGATTTTTTTTTTCGGCTTAGTTCCGCAGAATGGACTTGGTAAAATGGCTTCTTTCTGGTTCCTTGTTTTGTTTCTAATGATGCAGGTAACTTTCTTCCAGATATTTTGGTCTTCTGTTGCATTTTTCATAATTTTTTTTCAATTAAAAAAAAATTATTTGATTTTCATCATAATCATTCATTTTTGTGACGCAAGTGGTCTAAAGCTCAGCTTTGCCTTTGTGTCGAAGTTTGGCCTGCGTTTTTGAGTAGTTTTCTGAATGCGTTTTTGCCGCTGTTATTAATTAAACTTACTATTTGTGACCTGTGAAAAGTCAATAATGAACTCGAATTCAGTCTAGATAGTATCTATAAGCATAGCTATTGGAAATTAAATGTTTTTTTTTGTTCTAGATTGAGTTGGCTCAATCATGACGGGAAGAGAAATTATAACTCTGCAAGTTGGCTCCTTTGCGAACCACATCGGAACGCACTGGTGGAATCTACACGAGTCTAACTGCTATAGTGAAGATGCTCCAAGAGGAATTTTCAACTACGACATTCTTTTTCAACGGGGTGAAAACTGGAAACGGGAGGTCACTTTCACCCCTCGTTTGTTGCTCATAGATGGCAAGGGGGCGCTAGGACCGACTGGTGCAGATTATTTTGAAAATCTCTACAACAATGAGACTTCAAGTGGATTATCTGTGGAAAAACTTAGACGCAGTCTGAACTGGGATGGACCCGTTGACGTGGTCTCGCAATATGGCGATGTTCAGGTGAATCAAAGAAATGATTTTCTGAAGGCTTTGAATGAAGAGGAAGACGAATTTGAAACTGAAAATAGCGAAGACATAGACGTTTCTTGTGTTGCGTCATCATCTAAATCTCCTCGGGTCGAAGTATTGGGCAATTCTAAATCGAAAAAAGGAAAAGAAATGCCTTCAAAATCTTTTAGAGAACAATATTTTGATCTTGATGATAAGATAACGAATTGGACTGATTACTTAAAGCCAATTTTGCATCCGAAAAGTCTAACAACAGTTAAAGAACATACAAACCAACAAAGCATTTTGAACTGCAATGATGCTGCGCAGAATAAAACGCCAGGATTTGAGAGTGGGTCGGAAATATTTTCATCATATTGGGAAGACTTAGAGCAGAATTTGTTCTACTTGCTTGAAAAATGTGACAGTGTACAAGGGTTCCAAGTGCTGTCAGATGTCTATGACGGTACTTTCGGTGGGATTTCTTCAAGTTTAATTGAGAGTTTTCGAGATGAAATGCCGAAGAAGTCAATCTTCACCATTGCATGTTGTGAGCAACCGACTGATGATTCTGCAGTAAAAGAGTGTTTCAAGTCGAACAGAGGAACTCATATTGTGAATTGTGTGTCTGCGATTTCTTCTTTCCTCGCGAATTCTGCTTGTGTTCTTCCATTGTCTCTGCAATATGATTGGTTCCCGAAGAACCTCGGAGTAGCGAAACGCGAGTTCAGATGTTTTGACATAAAAGGGAAATGTTTCCACCAGAGCGCAGTGCTATCTGGTAGTTTGCATGCCGCTTTGGCGCCTTCTTATTGTTTTGGTGATCGATTTGTGCCGCTGTCCGATTACTGCAATTTATTAGGCGAGTATTTGATGATATCAATGCAGTTTAGAGAAGTGATTTTTTTCGCGATCACAGCTAAGATATTTGGAATTTTTCTAGTTATTTCGTTTTATTGTATCGATTAGCAAAAAACGGTTCAAGTTAAATATAGTATAGTGAAGTGTTTCGCTTTCGTGTATTTTGTTCAACCTAAACTTAGTAGGATTTTTTCGTTTTAGCCTTTAATGGAAGAAAGACTATAGTCCAGAACATCGACGTCGGATACCCAAATCAACTCAATTCCTTGAAGTTTGACTCACTTTCACCCATCGGAAAAAAATTGGTTCCAGACAATCCGGGTGACCTCGGCCTGGTATCGACCTTCTGTGGACGTTTTCGAAATGGTACCAGCTTGGAATCAATTAAAGAACAATTAAAACTGTGCTTTAAACCCTACTCTTGCCAAGCATTCCACGTTAATTCCCCGATTTTAATTGAGTCTCCCTTTCCATCGAAAATATTCGACTCAGAAGACAATAAAACCACAGGAAGGAGAAATATTGAAATGTTTACTAATTTGGCTAACGGATCGAACGCAAGAGACATGCTAGCAAGTTTAGTGGACGAGAAAGAAGTTTTGAAATCGTTGCAAGTAAGAAGTGCATTGAAGAATTTGCAAATGGACTCTGATCTTTTCAAAGAGAGAGTTGAAGATATCCTTACGGAAGTGGACAGATACAGTTGAAGTATTGCAGAAATTAGGGAAGTACTGGGCGAAGTGAGTCGATCTGTTTCGAATGTATCCACTAGACACATCTCTGGAGCGCGAGTTAGTGTATTGTGGAAACTTCCGATGGAAGCGGTCTCTGAAATTTTGGTGCCAAGTCATTCATTGAGTTGCTCGGATATTTTGACATCAATTAAAACTTTTCAAAATGCTTGTTTCATTTTGATGTTTCCAGCAACAGAATGCATCTAATTCTATTTCAGGCGAATACTGAGAGAGCAATATACCTTAAAGGTTAAAGTTCTGGTCACCTTAAAATGTGTCCATCAATTTAAAACTTAGATTTAGTATTTCAACTATAGATTGGGCGCTGGACAAGTGTTTCAGTTAAATAAAATTGTAAAATAATCAGACAACGCTGAAACACCGATGTTTTCAAATAGTTTCACAACAGTTTTGGAAACACCGATGTTTTTAAATAGTTTTACAACAGTTTTGGAAACACTGATGTTTTTAAATAGTTTCACAACAGTTTTGGAAACACCGATGTTTTTAAATAGTTTCACAACAGATTTGGAAACACCGATGTTTTTAAATAGTTTCACAACAGTTTTGGAAACACCGGTGTTTTTCTGTAAGAGAACAAAGAGATTGAAGGAAATGGCTAGTTAAGAGAGCCAGTTGTGCTCTCAACATGTACCCGCTAGCTGAGGGAATAACAAATAGGATTCCAGACATCAAGACTACGGGACTTCAGGTCGAGTTGTAAAAAAGAGACTTCAGACAGAAAAATATAATTAATAATTGAAAGCGAGACCATAGACTTAAAACTTATTTTATGGGTCTAGGACAAGACAACAGGTTGATGGCACTTCATGTTAAGGGTTCGGTTACTATTTCTTATTACACTTGCGAGATTAAGTGTCTTGTAATTGGTTTCTAAACTTTTCCCCCGTAGACAAATGTTATGTATGAAAATGAAACAAAAACTAACCGGGAAAAATAAATCACCGTACTTTCCTTTGTCGGGTTATCTTTTTTTTCGGCTTACTTGCCAAATTGGGGAATCAGCTTGTGCTGCTGCCATTTTTCATCGTAGATGCAAGTGTTTTTGTTTCATTACTGTAATTTGTAAAATTAATAGCCCTGACATTGTATCTTTTCCTTGGGTTTTTCTCGCTTAAAATATTATTTGTCCCCAATGGTTTCGCCTTACTTTTTATCGGCTTAGTTACTTAGTTTTTGTAGCTTCAAAGGCAAAAGTGATTTCAAAATTTAAAAAAATTTAATTGTTTGCATAATATATGTTTTTTATGACCACAATTTTCTATGGTATTTTTTTGTTTTCAGCTCAACGGGCGTGTGTCCACTTTTTGTGGACTTAGTGGTCGTTCGGTAAATACTAAAAGCTTATTTAATACTTGGTTGTTTTTTTTCGACAGTTTTTCTGAGATTTTTTTCACTTTTCACAAAAAAAAAGAATTCGATTTTGTTGTTACTGTCTCATTTGCTATTCACTAGCTTGCAATGCTGCGCTTGCGTTGTATTGCAAGTGATACGAAGCTCGGCGTTGTCTCTGTTTAGTTTTTTGTGCTGATTACAAAATGTATTGTGTTTAACTATTTGTCGATCACTAAAATTTGACTGAAAGTTTTTCTTAGCTCTCTAAATGAATCAGTTTTTGAATTGAATAAATTATAAACCTACTCCTGCTAAATTTAAAATCCTAATTTCAAACGTACTACAACATTTTTTTTCTCAAATTTGGGCAAATTGATAATTATATTTGCGAGAATAACTGTCTTGTAATCGGGAGCTAGACTTTTTCCCGTAAACAACATTTCTTGCGTATTATTAAAGAAATAGCGCGGAGAGTTGCTTTATTAGTTAGCCTCATTAACTTGGAGACTTTTTCCCGCTTGTGCCGCGGTTGCCTTTGTGTCTTAAGAACGGGTTCGAGTTGCGGTAGAAATGCGTTTTTTTTTTCACTATGATTTAAATTGATTTTTTTCCGGGAAAAATTGAACTATCGGATTTTCGTTTGTCTGCTTATATTTTGTCCTCTTAGTTGTCAGATCGGGGGATTTAATCGTGTTTTCAGTAATTTTCATCGTAGAGGCGAGTGTTCTTGATTTACTTCTACAATTTGCAAAATTAATGGCCCTGACGCTGTATGTTTTCTTTTGTTTTCCTTTTCAGTTTTTTTTTCGCTAAAAATTGCTTTATCGTCTTAACTGGTTCTGGGTTATGTTTTATGGACTTAGTCATCTGAATTTGTGTTGCTTCATGAGCAATAAATGGTTGACTATATGTTTACTGAGAAATAAAGGAAGTTTGTTTTTTAAGATTTCAAAGTTTAAAACCTAATTCTTCAGTTTTTTGTGACAAGTTTCTGATGGCTTTTTTTGTTTTCGGCTCAATGGGCGTCTCATCACTTATTGTCGGGTTAGTGGCTGTTTGATAATTATGGTGCTCGTTTTTTCTGCTGTTTCACTGAAATAATTTCATTTTCCAATTTTTTTGTTTTTCGATTTGGTTATTTCTGTCTCATTCTTCTTTGCCAGCTTGCAATTCTGCGCTTGGTTTTTATCGCTTGCTTCGCCTCTGCGTACGAATGTGATTTATGTTTGAAATCTATCAGTTTTTTGTTTAAATCGGGGACTACAAAATCATTCCAAATTGAATCGATGCAAGCTAATTGTTTTTTTTTAAATTCATAATTTGAACAGCCTAACATTTGTATTTTGTCAATATTTTATATAGCAAAAACAGTTCGAGACCAATTAATTGGCAGTCGGAACATTCAGGGTTTTGCCCTGATACGAGCAGTCTTGTTTTATTTTGATACGGTTGAACTGTTTAGGTATACCTCAGGGAAAACCGATAAAGATAGAAAGGGTAAAAATATTCAATGTGTTTTTCTTGCCCGGGATCTTGAAAGTTTCCAGGTAATATTCCATGCAACGTCGCCAATGATAATCACTAGTCTAAATGCAAATTGTTAGCTAATTTTAAACCAGGTGCAATATGAATTTGAACAAACATTGAAACAGTCTGGTAGCATCCGAACTATTTTCAACATCAGATATCTGATTAATATTTTTCTGATATCTGTAACTATTTCTCCTTCTTTTGCAATGGGGATAATCATTTGTTACTATTCGTATATGTTTTGTAAAAAGTTTGTATATGCTTAACCGTTATGTGCCATATGAGAGGGATGCAAACTCTGATAGCTATACCAAATGAAAAAGACTCACGTATTTAATTAAAACAAGTTCAAGAAACGATTACAATAGATGTTCCAATAAAAATGATTGAATTAAAAAAATAAAAAACGGGATAAATTTGAAAAAAAAATTTTTTTCTTTTTCTCGCTCCCACTTTTCTTCTTGTTCCAATTTTCCGGGTTTTATTCAGACTAATTTTAGAAAAATTGACTAGGTATTGACATCAATCCGGAAATCTTGTGATTGCCAATCAAATATTCTTGCACTTGATTAAAGTGCGGCTTTTACTGCTGGAATAATACTTAAATAGCTTGTTTCGATACTAGATTTATTTATACGTGGCAATTTATTTGTGCTCATAATTGTTGCAAAATGAATTGAACCAAGCTAAGTGGTCTTAATACTTCTATAAACGACTCAAATTTTAAATTGATACTATCAGCCTAAATTTCATCGTGTGTCAATATTTCAGTTACCAAATACTATCCTAGACCATTTGAAGGGCAGTCTAAACATTCAGGGTTTTGCCTTGTTACGAGACGTTTTTGTTCTCAGTTTCACCATTTTTAGGGAAATAAGGGATGTTGAAAAATGTTTTTGGGAATCGGGAATTAGACTTTTTTCTCCCGTAAAAATGTTTTCTCACAAATCTTTTTTGCTTTCTTATTGGAGGTTCGTTCCCAATTGGCCTAAAAGTAACACCATCGCCCTTATACCATAGGGTCAGGGGTTCGAGTCGCGGTCGCATCATGTGTATGAAACTGAAACTCTTCTTCGGTGAAAATTGAATCGTCAGACTTTCGTTCATCTGCTCAAGTTTTGTCAGCTTAGTTGCCATATCACGTGTTTTGCTTGTGCTGTGAACAACTTTTATTTCTGTTGTAAATGTCTGTTTTGTTCTGTAGTTTCAGGGTTTTCCCGGCTCAAATCTGTTTTTTTTTTCCAGCTCAAATGGTGTCTGCTCAATGATTTTCGGCTTTGTTGCCACTTGACTGATTTTGCTTGTGCTGTAAGCAATTTTCATTGTAGTTTAAAGTGCAGGTTTTGTTCATTGTAGTTTCAGGGGGGCATGAAAAAATTTTATACATTTTTTTTGCCCTAACTTGTGTCTGCTCAAATTTTGCCAGCTTAGTTGCCTTATCACGGATTTTTCTTGTAATGTAAGCAAATTTTATTGAAGTTGCAAATGCAAGTCTTTTTCAATGTAGTTTCAGGGCAGAGTAGCAGCTTTTTATTCGTATTATTAAATTATTATTTTTTGTTATTATTTTTATTTGTGTTATTAAATTTTTTATTCGTTTTATTGAATTATTCTTTTATCACTATTTTTTACTTATTAATTTTTTTCTTGAATTTCTTAAATTATTTTTTTTCGGCTCCACTTTTGTCTGCTCAAAGATTGTCAGGTTTGATTCCTCTTCGTAAGTTTGTGTTGTTGCTAATTTACTATTCAAATGTCTGGCATGTTTGCCTAAAATTAACTTCTGTTGAGACTTACCAAAATTTATCTTGGTAGACCTTGTTTTTTTTCAACATTTTTCTAGTTATGTTTTGATGTTTGTGTTATATCGCAAGTGATGCGAAGCTCCGCTTCGCCTGTTTTAAACTTACGATTTTCTATGTAGCAAAGTTCAGTAAATAATTTGTTCATTTCAAAAACCGATTTGTTCGAACAACTAAAAGAATCTTTAGTGAACTTTTAGTGACAGACAAATTTAAGTACACGAAATTTTTCTTAATAACCCAAAAAGATAATATTTTATTGATTTTAACCCTTAAGCTTGAGGTACTATCAGCATTTTCTTAGACCCAACAAATAGACCTGAGTCCACAAAATAGTGGTATCAGCCTTCACTGCATCCGTTATGTTCTCTCTCTAGTAACCGTTTTACAGCTAGTGCTGAGAGCTCAGGAAATAAGGCGGGCGACTCTTTATCTATATAATGTACTTCGAAATTTAATTGATAGTTGTTTGGTTACCCAAA